GCTAATTTTTGATTTTATTGTAGAGATGAGGTCTCGCCAAGTTGCCCAGGCGGGTCTCGAACCCTCAGGCTCAGGCAATCCACTCACCTCAGCCACCCAAAGGTGCAGGATTATACCCTGAACCACCGAGCCCGGCTATTTTTGGATGTTTTGTACAGACAAGTTCTTGCTATGTTGCCTAGGTTGGTCTGGAACTCCTGGGCTCAAGCGATCTTCCTACCTCGGCCTCCCAACGTGCTGGGATTACAGGCATGAGTTACCACGCCTGGCTCAATCTTAAAGATTTCTCTCAGCAGCACTGTTGCATGATTATCACTGTTGTTGTTATTATTTTGCTTATATTTGTAGAGCAGAGGCAACAAACTGCAGGTGCCAGCCCAGCAGTGGCTGCTGTGTGAATGCATCCCCGTCAACCCACAGGTAACATCGGGGGCAGCTGTGAATAAGGTTAAATGAGTTTGGTCACCCTGGCTGCTTTCCTCTGGGATTATCTAATTTGCCAGCCAGACAAAGCACTTTATCTGTGTTGGGCAGTCAGGAGTTATTAGGCCACTGCTTGTAACCTTCCTCAGTCCAGCTGGGGTCCCCAGGGTGAAACATTGTACCTTCAACCTGGGAACCAGCTGTGAAGAAGCTAGGACCCTGCAGAATCGGTTGCCTCTAATGCAACTCCGATGCAACTAACAAGAAACTAACAAGGCTCCTCCAACAAAATCAGGATTTTCCAGAAGTGGTGGTTCATCCATCACAGAGACAGAGGCTCTGGGGTTCTCATTATAAGACAGGAACTCCATGGACCACACTGAGACGTCTGGAGGACCATGGGGGAAATGAGGGTAAGTCCAAGAGTGGGGTGGAAGGGGTCCCTGAGGTCTCTCTCCGCACAGGTCTGACAGTGAAGATGCCAGGCAAAGAGAGCCAGCTGTCACTCAGGGCTATTGACTCTCACCCCCTCGTGCCACATGGGGTCCTCCTGGACTCGCACAGCAGTCCACAGGGACTGGATCCCAGGTGACATGAGTGTGAGAGAAAGAGTTTTGCAATAAATACAGCTCATAGCTCTATTTAAATGCATAGCTCTATAGTAAAGGAGGCAGTGCTAGTTAAATCCCTGGGTTAATTAACATGGGCCAAGCCCTGTCCTACTCCATCTAATCATCACATCAGCCCTGCTGAGGGGCTATTATTCCCATCTCAGAAACTCAGATATAGTCATGTAATAAGTGACAAGTGGAGGCAGGATTTTTGTTTTGTGTTGTTTTTCAGTCAGGGTCTCACTCTGTTGCCCAGGCTAGAGTGCAGCGGCGCAATCACAGACAGCTCACCACAGCCTTGACTTCCTGAGCTCAGGTGATCCTTCTGTCTCAGCCTCCCAAGTAGCTGGGACTACAGGCATGTGCCACCACACCTGGCTAATTTTTTGATGTTTTGTAGGGATGAGGTCTCGCTGTGTTGCCTAGGCTGGTCTCGAACTCCTGGGCTCAAGTGATCCTCCCACCTTGGTCTCCCAAAGTGCTGGGATTACAGGCGTGAGCCATGGTACCCAGCCTTACTCTTCTTACATACGGAAAGCCCATCTTCATCACAAGTTTTTTTTCCACATGGAGTAACTTTGAGAAAACCTTCTAGCCAGAGGTGAAAATCTTCCCTAAGATGCTGATAAAGGGTCTCCTTCATCCCACCCAGAGATGACTTAGCTAGAATACAGGAGCCCCTCCCCCCACTGCGCTAAGAAGCAAAACAAAGCAAATAACATCTTTAAGGTGTGGAAAACGAGACCCTGAGAGAAAATGATGTCACCCCAGGGTCATTTATTTCTGTATTTGCCTCTCCCTCTGAATTGAGAGATCCTGGTGGGCAGAAACAATGTCCGACTCGTGACTCTGTCTGTGCAGAATGACCAGCCCCAACGCTAGTAGTCAGCTACTGCTCTTCTGTGCTCATCATTGTTGGTCCTCTCTCTTCCCCTGAGTGTCTGAGCCCGAGGTCAGAGACACGGCTTATCCATCCATATGCTCCTCCGCCCAGAGCAGAGCCTGGCATTGGGTCAGCCTGAATGGATACTTATGGAATAAGCACGTGAATGCATAGGCATATGGCTAAGACCCAGACAACTACGGATCGTCTATGTAGATGTAACGACTAGAAAGAGAAGGTGTGGGCTCTTGATTTGGAAGCCATAACAACCCATAGATTTCCGGGCTTTGATAAGGGGAGTCAGAAATGTATCAAAAGTCACGGATGTTCATCACGAGAAGCCACAGGAAAATGAGCCTGGCCACGTGAATACTCGTCCTCACTGGAAGACACTTGCTTTTGGGGGCAGTTGCTTTCTTTGGGCATGGACAAAAGGTCCAAGAGCTTCCAAAGCCTAAGATTTTTACTTTTCCAAGACTGAGGAACTGATATCTCCGTGTTTGAGGATGAAGGAGACAGACTGAAGTCAGACTGCCTGGATCCCAGTCCTGGGTCAGAAAGGTACCAGTTGGGTGACCTAGGAAGGGCAAGTTACAAAACCTCTCTGTGCTTTTGTCTCCATAAATGTAAAGCAGCAATCCTAACACACTGAGGTACTTGCCTTGTGAGCTGGTTATGAGAACTAAGTGTGTCAATACGTGTCAAGCAGGTAACAGGCGCTCCATCAACCTGTGTGCACCATTCCTATTTGGTATAAGGCACACAACATTTTACAGTCCATGAAGCCCAATGGTTATACTCTCTCATTTGATCTGCGGTCATTACCACCATCCCACGAGATCAGATGACTTCAAGGACCTACACGGTGGTTGCAGAGGTGAGACCTGAATGGCCGTCCTTGTCTCCTCAGCTCTGCCCAGCCCTCTCTTGTTGGCTTCAAGCCAAGATCTTCATTTCCCTCAGCAGGACTATTGGGATCCGGCCCAACGGCACACTACGTTTAAGCTGTAAGTCAGTGAGAACTCTGTCTGGTGGCAAACTCAGAGTGCCTGTAGGGGTTGGCGGTCGCAGGACAAGCCATACAATATGGGTGTCTCCTCTGGAATGTCGCAGCCATTGCGAAAGCAATGAGAATCCAGGTGCCCAATATAAGGCTAATGATTAAAAATGAGCCCAGGGAGCTGCTTCTGACTCTGCCTTTTCAGCCAATATCCCTTTCTATCAAGAGTGACAGAAATATACACTAAGCTTCTTCAATTGTCGACTCCGTTTGTCTGCACGCCCACAGGAAACTGCTCGGGAAGTCTGATAAGAATTGCACAATTTCAGCACAAATTAAGTGATTCTTACCTTGAACAGCACAATGGCATAGTCATATATTAAAGCGGGATCCTCCGTCTCCAGAGCCCCCTTGGCGTACCACTCGATTGCCGCTTCGGGGTTCTTGGCCACACCCTGCTGCCCCCAGAAGAGCATCTGGGCCAGTCGTTGCTTAAAGACAATAGCAATTGAGAACAATGACTTTCCTGTGTGATGCTAGGACTTTGGAAGGCGGGAGGATAAACCTAGTTGATAGTTTTATAAAGAACCAGGGGTTAGCTAGATATCTGTTCTCTCCCAACTAGAGGCCAGAGCTTTGAATGGGAACTCGTGTAAACACAAGCCCTTAACACAAGGGTTCACGTGTGTGTGTGTGCGTGCATGCGTATGTGTGTGTGTGTGTGTGTCTACTGCACCCAAAGTCAGAGCTGCACGGAACTTGGTCAACAATCAGAACTCTCTCCTCCTTTGGGAGGTGTTGCCTGTCTTTTTGGCCCTGTGAGTCTCTGCACATCTTGATCATTAGGGCACCCTTCTATAGCACTTTCCCTTTTTTTGAGTCAGGGTCTCATTCTGACACCTAGACTGCAATGCAGTGGCATAGATCGTGGCTCACTGTAGCCTCGACTCCTGGGCTCAGGTGATTCTTCCACCTCCAGAGTAGCTCGGACTACAGGCATGCATCACCACACCCAGCTCATTTTCTTATTTTTTGTAGTGATAAGGTCACGCTATGTTGGCCAGGCTGGTCTTGAGGAATCCTCCTGCTTCAACCTCCCAAAGTGCTGGGATTAGAGGTGTGAACCACCACGGCTGGCCAGCACTTATCTTCTGTCCCATCGTCTGTCCATGTGGTTGGAGGCTGGAAGCTCCTGGGAGGTAGGAGCCCTAAGATATACTTTGTCTTTGCCCCATTCCCTCACCTCCACCCAGCAGAATTCAATAGAAACTCACAGAAGCGGCTCAACCAAGATTTGCTGAAGGTAGGAAGGAAGGAAAATCAATGCAAGCTCTGGAGTACCCAGTGGCAGCGGCAACTCCAGAACTACATGCTGGAATTTTTTTCTGCACTGGACAGACTGCAAGGTAGAGACAGATGCCCAAGAATGGGGCTGGGGAATGTGTGCTAACATTCCAGCCCATTGGAGTCTCTTCTGTTTTTCCTTCTTTCTGCTTCTCCTCTCATCTCCTTCTCTTCTTCTTTCCCCTCAAATACTTATAACTTCCAGGAAAGTATCTCTTGAAATGTAGGGATCTCTACAGAGGGATGGACACTTGTTAAAAAAGAAGCTCTCGGGTCAGGCGCGGTGGCCCATGCCTGCAATCCCAGCACTTTGGGAGGCCAAGGCAGGAGGATTTCTTGAGGCTAGGAGTTTGAGACCAGCCTGGGCAACAGAGCAAGACCTTGTCTCTACAAAAAATAAAAAAGTCAGTCAGGTGTAGTGGCATGCACCTATTGCCCCTGCAACTCGGGGGGCTGAGGTAGAAGGATCACTTGAATCCAGGAGTTCGAGGTTACAGTGAGCTATGATCATGCCACTGTACTCCAGCCTGGAGAAGGAAACAGAGCAAAACCTCGTCTCTAAAAAAATGAAAAAGAAAGATCCTCTGAACTGTCTGCTGTGTCCCTGACTGTGACTCTGTTCTTTTTTCCTTTCCTTTCCCACCTCTGGTCTTCTGTCTGCTTAGCGGCCCCAGCTGCTCTTCCTGATACTGCTGTGCTCACCAGGAACACTGAGCCAAAGCTAAATCCCTCCTAGGGGAAGAGGCTTCCTCCCAGTGCAATCAGCCCAAGCTGCTCCTGTCAAGGGCTTCTCTTCCCCGTGAAATCAAAGCAGGGAGGCAGGGACACTTCCCCAGCCATCCACGCTTTCTTGTACCTCTTAAAAGTCCATCCACACACAAGAGATGCTCAAGAGGCGAGGCTGATCCTGCCGGCCTCAATGCCATAAGTGATGTGCTATTGTTATCCTAGCTGAATCCATGGCTGCCTTCTTGACGTCCATCTAATTTCTCTGGCACTCCAAGAAGCTTCTTGTTTTTCTGTCTGATGGATGTATCAAAATATCTGATGGCAGACTTCAGGGCTGCACATACATACTGCGGCTTGCTCTCCTTTGGGGTGAGTGGCAGGACTACAATCTGGCCCTCTTGAAGTCAAGAGGGGCCACGAGACTTGCCTTGGTCAGTGAAATGGGAGAAGTGGCTTGTGTCACTGCTGAGTACAAGCACCAAGAGCCATTCTGTCAGGCACCATAGCCGTGGCCCTGATGCGATGGTTCTGGAAACTTCTGTCAGCTCATGTTCCTAAGGATCTGTAAGAACACAGCTCCCTGCTAACCCCCACTGGACATGCAGCCTGAGTAAGAAATAAATCCACACTGTCTTCAGTCATGGAGGTTAGACCATGGCATAACCTGGTCTACCATGGCAGACAGATTCCCCAAGATAGTAGAATGCATTTTTACCTGAGCTGCTGCATTGCCTCGGATAGCTTCATGCTTCAACCACATAAAGACATCTCCATCTTCTTTGGTTTGTACCTTGAGTGTTTCATCATCTTTTAGTCTAATGGTTTCAACATATGCCTGGGAAGCAAGGAAGGAAGGAGAGAGGGAGGGAGGGAGGGAGGGAGAGAGGAAGGGAAGGAGAGAGGAAGGGAAGGAGGGAGAGTAGTAGGAAGGAAGGAGGGAGGGGAGGAAAAAAGGAAAGAAAGAAGGAAGGAAGGAGGGAGGGGAGGGAGGAAGAAAGTACTCAAATGATATGGGCATGCAAAAGACATGATATTATTCTTAAACTAGCAATTGCTTAAGCAAAAACCATATGAGTAACTGAAACACGAGGCGTGCCCACAATAAAATAAGGTCACATTCTTTTGAAACGAATGCATCTCACATCTCTTAAATCTGAACGGCTGTTTGTGCCTATCAAAGCCTTTGCCTTGGGAAGCACTCCCACTTCTACTGCTCAAGCTTGTTTGGAAGTCCACTTTGTGCCACTGATTTCAGAGTCAGATTACACACATGCAGCATCAAAAAAAGGTAAATCAATATTTTCTAAGTATAACCTTATTTCTGATCCTACAGTATGACTATCCTGCACGACTCACCCCTTTCATGTCACAGACTCGGCTTCAAATATCTTTTGGCTATTTTCAAAAATTAAATCTACCCTGAAAAGAAGAGGGCACATTAACTCTGAGGATGCAAGAAAGAATGTGCCAGCGGCTCTAAGGATGAACCCACAGGGAAAGTGCGCAAAATCCTTAGAATTTGCACACAGCCTCCCAGGTATCTGGCTCCTTTGAAGAAAATAAGATTCGTTTTGATGTATAAATGTTTGCTGTTTATTAGAAATCCGGTCCCCTTGTTTCACGGTCTCTTTTTATACAAAATGAAGTTGATCTCACAATGCCAGGAGGGGAGGTTGGAGAGGGCTTCTGATGCCCAGAGCAAGCCACAGGCAGATAGCGGAAAAATTGGATCTGGACTAGTTAGGGAAAACGCTTCTGAGAACAACGCACCAGGCCTGATTTCCCTTCGGACTCTCTTTGTCAGTTAGTTAAGAAGAGTGAGGCCAGGCACGGGGGCTCAAGCCTGTAATCCCAGAACTTTGGGAGGCCGAGGTGAGGGGATTGTCTGAGCCCATGGGTTCAAGAACAGCCTGGGCAACTTGGCGAGACCTTATTTCTACAATAAATCAAAAAAATTAGCCAGGCGTGGTAGCATGCACCTGTAGTTCTGGCTACTTGGAAGGCAGAGGCAGAAGGATCACCTGAGCCCAGCAGGTCGACACTGAAGTGACCATGAGCGTGCCACTGATGAGAAATTCTTAGCTGAGATTTTTTGTTCATCTAGAGAGTTTAGTAAGACTTCAACAAAAAAAAAAAGAAGAAGAAAAGTGCTGGGAGCCACCAAGTCTAGTCTGCGGCTCTCTCCTGAGAGTATCCCCTAGCTGCCTCCTTGCTGTGGCCTCATGAAGCCAGAAGTCTCTTTCAGGGGCACAAGGGAGCTGGGGCTTGGGGACCGTGCTAAGCTCACAACCCAGTAGGTGTCCATTTTCTGCTGCATGGCTACTCTGGGGAGGTCACTTAGCTAACAGCAACAATTAGAGACCAAGCATGGTGGCTCACACCTGTAATCCCAGCACTTTGGGAGGCCAAGGCAGGAGGAGCACCTGAACCTAGGGTTCAAGGTTGCTGAGAGCCATAATCATGCCAATGCACTTAGTTTGGGTAACAGACTAAGATCCCAACTCAAAAAAAACAAAACAAAAACAACAGAATTAGAATGAGAGTCACAACTTTTTAATGAAACCAGCTGTATGACAGGTGTTTAGCAAATGTTTATTCAATTAATCCTCACCACAAGGCTGCGACCCAAGTATCACTGTCTTCAATGCATAGGCAAAGAAACTGAGCCTCAGAAGGTGAAGCCATGAACTCAAGGTCACAAAGACCCTCTAGTTTTTGCAGCTGGAAAGCAAAGTGGCCCTGGTAGTTAGGTTGGCTTGACTCCAAAGACAGAGCTCTCCTGTACTCCCTCAAGGTCCTTTTTTTGGAGTCAGGGTATCACTGTGTTGCCCAGGCTGGAGTGCAGTGGCATGATTACTGCCGCCTTGACCTATGCTCAGGCCATCCTTCCGCCTCAGCCTCCCGACTTGCTGGGACTTTTGATACTTGCCATCACATCAGGTTAATATTTAGATTTTTGTAGAGAGACAAAGTCTCGCTATGTTTCCTAGGCTGGTCTCGAACTCTTGGGCTCCCACCTCAGCCTCCCAGAGTGCTGGCATTACAGGCAGTGAGTCACTGCACCCGGCCTTAAGCATGGCCTTTAAAAGGAACATCATCCAGTTGTTCATTCATTCAAACAACAATTTGTGACCAGGAAAGCCAGGAAGAAGTTGTGGAATAGAGAAAAAACACTGGGGGCCGGCGGGGTAGAGGCAGAGCTGGCAGATATCGGCAGGATCCGAGAGTCCCAGACTGACCAGTTCTGGGATCTTCCATGGCTTTTGGGGGGGCTCTTTTGTGGCTGTTTTATAAATTCAACATTTCTGGAATGAGCAGCTCAGAAGTTCCTGTCTTACAGTGCAGGGCTAAAACCTGCCGGCCTGGTCCCAGGAGGCCCAAGATCTGGAGACGCTGAGATCCTCTGACCGCCCAGGACCAAGCCGCAGAGACGGCTGCATCAACATGCCTGCGGGCGACAGAGGGCCAGGTCCACATCAGACCTGCTGTCTGTGCCTGCGACTGATTTCAAGAAGGGGTAGGGCAGGGAAAGAAAAGAGAAATGGAGATAGAGAAAGGAAGAGAGGAGATGAGAGAAGGGGGGCGGAGAAGGGGACAGAAGGAAAAGGAGAGAAGGAGGAAGAAGACCGCCAGAGGGAGAGAGGGAAGAGAGAAAAAGGGGAAGAGGAAGTGAGGGAGAGAGGCTGCGCACAGCGGCTCATGCCTGTCATCCCAGCACTTTGGGAGGCCACAGCAGGAGGACTGCTAGAGTCTGGGAGTTCAAGACCAGCCTGGACAGCAGAGTGAGTCGTCTCTACAAAGAAAAATCAAGAAGTTAGCTGGGCATGGTGGTACTCACCTCTGTCGCCCCAGCTGCTCAGGAGGCTAAGGTGGAAGGATCGCTTAGCCCAGGAAGTCAAGGCAGTGGTGAGCCATGACCATGCCACTGCACTCCAGTCTGGGCAACAGAGTGAGACCCCGACTCAAAAAAAAAAAAAGGAAGAAGGAAAGAAAGAGAATGGGGCTGGGGAGAGAGGATGAGGAAGAGAGGGAAGAGAGGAAGAGAAAGAAGAGGAGAGGGAGAGAGGGACAGGGCAAGAGAGGTAGAAAGAGGAAGGAAGGAAAGGGGGTATGGAGAAAGGATGACAAAGACTCTAGGAGCAAAGCCTCTCAGCATCAGCCCTGCGTTTTCCAGAAGCATCTGCCTTCCCTGAAGCTGTGAAATATGGCAGAGCTGCCGGCACCCCTGGGAACGCGGCGGCAGGCCCAGCCAGAGGCCTGGGGAATTCCGTCTCCACCTCCACTACCTTCCTCAGAGTCCGTCAGAACTGCCAGGGGGAACCTGCCTCTTAGCATGTTTAAAATTAGCTGTAATGTTTGGTTCCCAATAGAGGGGGTGTGTTTTCTCTGCAGAAATGTAACGCTCTGGGGACTTTAGGATTCGAAAGGAGGAATGGGGAATACCAGCTGCAATAGTGAGAGACAGGGATGCAAATGCCCACGACTCCCTGCAGGTGGATGCCACCCACAAAGGCAGTGCTGCACACAAGAGGGCGGGGTCTGAAGGCACGGGCTCGGGGTCCTACTGCCAACCACGCAACACGGGTCCCAGAAAAGCATCGGCTGGCTTGGCACGGTGGCTCACGCCTGTAGTCCCAGTACTTTTAGAGGCCGAGGCAAGAGGATTGCTTGAGCCCAGGAGTTCAAGACAGCCTGGGCAGCATAGCAAGACCTCATCTCAAAAAAATTAGCTGGATGTAGTGGGGGCCTGTGATCCCAGCTACCAGGGAGGCTGGGGGACCGCCTGAGCCCGGGAGGTTGAGACCGAGGTGAGTCATGATCATGCCACTGTACTCCAGCTTGGGCAACAGAGCGGGGCCCTGACTCAAAAAGAAAGTAACGAAGGAAAGAAGGAAGGGAGGGAGGAAAGAAGGAGGCGGATGGAGAGAGGAAGGGAGGAAAACACCAGTGTCCACAAGACATTGCAGCCACACTACGTTCTTCGCAGGATGAAGGCCAAATGCATTTCCTATCCATTCCTATCCATCATTCCGTCAACACCGTGAGCCAACAACACGCCGAGCACTGTGCTTGGTGCTGGGGTCACCGATGGACAAAACTCCTGCCTAGGGGAGTTCACAGCAAAGGAGCAACTGCAGAGGTGTGCCTGGGTGCATCAGGGTGCAGCAAGGAGACACCCAGGGAGGCTTCCAGAGGAGGTGATGCCTGAGCAAGAGTGAAAGTAGGGGTCTCCTGTGGGAAAAGAGGAGTGTGCGTGGAGAAAGCAAACAGTGAGGAGAAAGTCAAGGCCAGGGGGCATAAACAGCATGGTGTGGGCCAAAGTTTGGGGTTGCACGTTTGGCTGGTAGAGGTAGAAAGAAACCAGATTGAGGAGTGCCTCCCATGGTGTGCAATGAGCTGGCCTTGTTCTTCCCGGTAGTACAGAACAGTCTTCTGAGGAGTCTTTAAAACAGACATATACATGCATATGCGTATTTGCATATTGCAGGGCTATGCCTGGGCGCCATGCTGGTCACCCCCAGAGAGCCTCTGCGGTGGGACATGCATGAGGCATTCTGCAAGCCCCCAGGCAATTTGATGTGTAGTCCCCTTAGCCTCGGTGAGAAGAGAATGGGAAGGGACGAGGCTGGTGACAGAAAGACCAGTGAGGAGGGGTCTGAGTCTGCTAGGGCTGCCATAGCAAAATTCCAAAGCCCGGGTGACTTAACAACAGTCCCAGAGGCTGGAAGTTCAAGGTCAAGGTGTCAGAAGGATTGCTTCCTCTGAGATCTCTCTCCTTGACTTGCAGATGGCCATCTTCATGTGCCATTGTCCTTCTGTGCTGTGTCCTAATTTCCTCTTCTTTTTTTGAGTTGAGGTCTCACTCTATTGTCCAGGCTAGGATGCAGTGGCACAATCATGGCTCACTGCAGCCTCGACCTCCTGGGCTCACACGATCCTTCCACCTCAGCCTCCCGAGCAGCTGTGACCTCAGATGTGTGCTATCACATCTGGTTAATTTTTTTTTTGGTAGAGATGAGGTCTCCCTATTTTGCCCAGGCTGGTCTCAAACTCCTGGCTCAAGCAATTCTCCCACCTCAGCCTCCCAAAGTGCTGAGATCACAGGTGCAAGCCACCACACCCAGTCATAATTTCTTATAAGGACACCAGTCCAATGGGATTAGGGCCATACCCAACCGTCTCACTTTAACTCATCACCTATTTAGATACCTTCTTTCCATGGATGGTCACATTCTGAGGTATTGGGGGTGGGAACCTCAACATATGAATTTTGAGGGGATACAATTCAGCTACTGGCTGTTGCAGCAGCTGAGGGGAGAGATGACAAATGACAGACTTCAGCAGTGGCAGGGGAGGAGGTAAAGATGGGGGGAGAAAGAAATTGACTTGGATAGCTGTCGGGGGTTAACTGATGGATGAGGAGGAATCAAAGTCAACGCCCAGTTTCCAGCATGGCTGACGGTACCATCAGCTGAGGTGTCTACAGGGAAGCAGAAGAGGAGATTACTTCTCCTTGCAGGTTGTCCCCATTGCGGATGGGGATTTGGAAGAAAGACCTCAGACGGAGACCAGGGTCTGAGTATCGTGAGTACGCGGAAGGCCGCTGAAGCCAGGGGTGAGGGTGAGATCCCCGACCCCCTCCCAGAAGGTGGACCAGGAGGAGAACAGAGGCCTGCGAGCCAAGCCTTGAGGAAGACAGACTGCCTGGGAGGGGGCAGAATGAGAGGATCAGTCATTGGCGACTGAGTCACAAAACCAGACGGAAACACTTTCTGTCTTCTCTCTTTGTGACCCGAAGCCGAGTCCTACCAAATCATAAAGACGTGTTGTGGAGGGTGACTGCCAACAAAGAGGATGCGGTGACATGAGCCATGACTTACATAAAAGAGAAAATGAAACAAGATTCGAGCAAGGGGTTATGGACGGATCCTTGGTTCGTTAATTAAAGGTCTGGCTTTCTCTGCCTCTTCATTTGCTACGTTATTCTGGTGAATTAATAGATTTCTCGACAAAGAGACATTTAAATCAACATATGACACCTGTTTAAATTCTCCAGAAGCCATTAATTACACATTCTTAAGAAAATGAGCTACAACCCAACTTCCCTAACTATATAATTCCTGTGATTCTTAATCAGGCGACTTTTCAGCTGCAAGAGGGATGTTTTCTGTTCATCTCCTCTAGTTCTGACCAATTAAACACTTCCCTTCATAATCATAACATTTCATATGCCAAATCTTCAAAAGAAAAGGAGCTTGTTAGCAACATACCATTTCCCGTTGCTAATTTATGCTGAATTTGAATTCTTAAAAGTATAATATATACATGTAGGGCATTATGAACACATCCAGGTCTAGTAGAAAAACAACAGTAATATTATTTTAGGACTTGATTTTGTGCAAATGTTTTTTTTTTCCCCAGAACAATTCTTTTTGTTAAAAAAAATCTTATAATTAACAAGTTGAGGTAAAATTTTGCATGTAGCTTATATACACTGAGAAAAGACATGTACAAATTATAAGAGTGTATAACGATATTCAGAAAGAATCATGATTATCTAAAGGAATTGGCATTTCTATATAGATAGCCTTTTGGTATTTTATAGCTTGACCCATGTTTAACATTCACTGATAGCACGTATCTTTCAATCATTTCTTTCTTTCTTTCCTTTTTTTTTTTAAGTCAAGGTCTCACTACCCAGGCTGGAGTGCAGTGGCACAATCACGGCTCACCACAGCCTCGACCTCATGGGCAGGCTCAGGTGATCCTTCTGCCTCAGCCTCCTGAATAGCTCAGACCACAGGCATATGCCAACATGCCCAGCTAATTTTTTGAGTTTTTGTAGAGACAAGGTCTCACTTTGTTGCCCAGGCTGGTCTCGAACTCCTGGGCTGAAGCGGTCCTCCTGCCTCAGCCTGCTTAAGTGCTGGGATTACAGGTGTGAGCCCCCACACCTGGCCTGAGTCATTTATTTCATAATCATATGGTGGCCATCGTAGATTTCTTTTCCAGAAACCAATCATTCCTGACCATGAGGGTATGAATTTTCCTCACTGTGGGTTTCTGAGACCCCGAGTCCCAGCCCAGGAACAGAGCTGGGACTCAGGGTCCAGGTCCCAATTAGCCACTCAGCCCAAGATTCAACAATTCTGACCCAACCAGGCCCATCTCTCGGGCCTGCTTGCCAAGCAGGGGGGAATCAAAAGTTTACAGCATGGACCAGGGCCACCGCTGGCCACGCAGTCACAGCTACATGCTGTCTGTGGCTCAGCTACCCCGCTCCTTTAGGCATTGTCCATGGCAGAGTTGAGTTGCTGCAACAGGGACTGTACAGGTAAAGCCTAAAACGTTAACTATGCATCCTTTACTGGAAAAAAAATGCTGACTATTTGCACTTCTCAGCTAAACACTCTGAGCACTATGACCATGAAGGATGTCTTAAGTCATTCCTGGAGAAAGAAGATGTAGAAAGCTACATCCGCAGCAAGGTGCAGTGGCTCATGCCTGTAATCCCAGCATTTTGGGAGGCTGAGGAGGGATAATTACTTATGAGACCATGGGCAACATAGTGAGACCTCGTCTCTCCAAACAAACAAACAAACAAAATTAACCAGGTGTAGTGGTGCGTGCTTGTAGCTCCAACTACTTAGGAGGCTGAGGCAGAAGGATTGCCTGAGCCCACGAGATCGAGGCTTGTGGTGAGACATGATTGTACCACTGCATTCCCGCCTGGGCAATAGAGTGAGAATCCAACTCAAAAGAAAAACATACATTAAAAAAAAAATTATAAGAAGCCAACCACTTCATAGTCCACTACCATCAGATGCTGATCTGTATTACCAAATGACAATTTTCTGTTTACTTTTACACTATCACCTTTAGCAATGCCCTGTCTGGAAACAAACCATCAGCTGGTCTAACGTAACACATTATGGGTTTTTGGCAGATGTGAGTCAGTGATTTCTTTGCCCGATGAGTCAGTAAGCTTTGATGACTTGCAGAATCAGGGGCTGGAGTCAGTGCCCCTCATCTAGTCCACACTCCGGGATAGGGCGGAGTCTTCAAACATCACTTGCAGCAGTCAGTCACCTGGGAGCACTGGGCTAGCAAGGCTCGTGAGATGGGACCAGACATTCCCAAGCACCCCGCGGTGGGAACACAGCTGGGTGTGAGGCTTGTTTCTAGATGGTGTAGACCCTGCTTGCTCATTATGCCTTGCTAGGAGCCCTCAGGACTTACTGCCTCTACTCAGTTGGACTCTAACACCTCCAGACCCCACCATCTTACATGGTCTTGGAACAAAGATAAGCTGCCTGTGTTTCTGGTACACATGTTTTACAAAAACATAACCTGTCCAAGGCCAAATCTACTCTTCACATACCCATCCTCTCACTAATAAAAAGTTCTTCATTGCATAGAGGTGGGACTGTGCCCGTATTCAGCCCGAAAACACAGTCGGGAAGTATGAATTGGAGAGTGAACGAGAGCTTTTCTCTCCGTCTGACTGTGTTCATCCTCTGAAGGTCAATGACTCAGTCACAAGTGCAGGCACTTCATACAGTTGTTCAGGAAGCCCCGGAAAGCCGGGTGGTGACCATTCCCGTCCCTTTCTCTCTCCCGTACCTGGTCTCCTTGGAGTGTGTGCTGGTCAAGTGGTGTCTTCGTGGCAATGTTGCTGTAGTAGGCATATGACAGTTCCCAGTCCAGTGGGTAGTTGTCAATACCCTGGTAGTGTTTGTACCCAAGATTCATTGAAGACAGCCTCTCACTGCCCTGACCTCCAACCAAACTATACAACATGCCCTGTAAGAAAGAAATCGACAAAGTGTTCAGTGGATCGTAGACACAGTCATCGAATCCTTACACTGAAAGATCATCTAGCCCAGTTCCTATAGAGAATCCTAGCTGTTTCAAAACTATGTCAACTTGCCTTAACAAAATCTTTAGGAAAAAATCCAATCCAGCTTCCTAATGGTTTACAAATTCCCAGCTATCTGTCCTTCCTCGTGTCTAATAGCTTAAGATGCCCTGACTTGTACCTCTTCTTGGTAAAAACGAGGACCCTTCCTGACTCCTCTCATAGCATCTTTTGTGTAGCAGTCAACCATTCTAAGGATCCCTGGTCAGCTTTGGCTACATCATCTATGGCACATGATCTGAATAGAGGGTCCATGTCCCAACCTCACACTCTTAGGAAGTTAGTGCAGGAAGAAGTGTCTTTGGAGATTGACTGGTCCAACTACCACATTTCATATTTGAGAAAATAAGGGTCCAGAAACAGAAAATCATTTGTCTATGGTCAACCAGCCACTTGGTGGCAGAGACAGGGCTCTGTTCCAACTCTTCCACTTTCAAGGGGACTGCTTCAGGGACTCAGGAAAACATGGCATGCTTCAGGAGTGTCTGTAAACCAGAGGCATACAAATGCATCACTGAAAAGGCCCATGAAGCCACTTGGGCACGTCTACACAGTCTGTGTCTTGCCAGACCAAGGATAAATAATCATACTGCAAAATCTGAAAACTGAAAGTAATCAGGGAGCATTCAGTAGTACTTATTTTGATGGTTCATTTGACGCGTCAACTTGGCTGTGCCATCAGGCACCCAGATTAAACATGTATTCTGGGTGTGTCTGTGAGTGTTTCCAGATGAGCTTAGCACTGAACTGGGGGAATAAGTAAAGTGGATGGCCTTCTCTAATGTAGGTGGGCCTCCTCCAGTCCCTTGAGGCCCTAACTAGGATCAGAAGGCAGAGGAAGAAGGAATGGGTCTCTTTGGGCTTCCCGTCTGCCTGCTTGAGCTGGAACATCACTTGTTTCCTGCCCCTGGACTGGAGTTTACAGTATCAGCCCCCTTGCTCCTCAGGCCTTCAGACTCGGATTGGAATCGCACCACTGGCTTTCCTGGCCCTTAGCCTGCAGACAGTAGACCGTGGGATTTCTCAGCCTCCATAACTGCACGAGCCAATTCTTCATAAGACATTTCTTTCTCTATATATAATCCCATTGGTTCTGTTTCTTTGGAGAACCCTGACTAATACACTTACGAAAATGTGCTTCTAAATGTTAGGCGAATTGCATAATAAATTTGGATTCAAAAGCAAAAATGAAACCGTCTGCTTGGGAGTTTATTTTGATGGCAGACTGCTGGATGCAACAATACTTTGCTTAGCGGTCCAAATGACTTCACTTAGCTAAAAGCCATGTGGGATAATGGTCCCACAGCCAGGGTAGCTACAAGAATTGGGTAAGAGGCACTTGCTTTTGAAGGTCTGGAATTCTGGCAAGCCCTGTCCAGGCTGTGTTTCAGATGATGGACCAATCATACCTGCAAGGCCATGTCCAGAAACGGACAAAGTGCCCTCTTCCACTCACTGAATGCAGAGAGGATCCTGTATTTAACACACCCCAGAATATTTTTCTTGAGTGTAGAGATTTTTAAAGAGCTCCAAGGAGCCACAACACACCCAGTTCTACCAGGGGCACAAATGCACCACTCTGTACATATAACGCAGGTGACCGATGTTCCTGGGACCGAAAAATACTCTACCTGCAGCTGGTCCCGGGGAACAGCTAAGCCAGTTTCATACAAGACTGCGAGGTAGTAGGATGCTTTATGGTATCCACAGCAGCTTGAATCCATCAGAAAGGGAACGATAGAGCTAATTTGGTGAAGACCATCAACGCCGGAGAGTCTCTTGACAGCCTTCTCAAAGATCCTCCCACCGATTTCTAATACAGATGCACCTGGGTTCCTTGGGACTGTGAAGAACACAATTCAGAATGCATACAATTAATTACCACGGGATAGACATGGCTTTAGAAAGAAGAGGAAAAGCCAATTAAAGCACCTGAGTTATTGATATGGTTGGTCCCGTGGTGCCTTGAAATATATCACCTTGTGGGGAGGCAAATTAAACCCTTTGGGGATGCCATGGTGTCATTCTGTAAATAGTTTTCTCTCTGGCACTAAATGACAGCCCAGTATCCCTGGGAAAAAGATGTGCCGGATGTAGCCGAGAGATCTCGAGAGTAATTGACTCAGTGTAACTCACTACCAAATCAGGACCACTGAAGCTTCCAGAGAGATTTTTTTTCCCTTTCCTTCTAAGACTCTAAATAAGAATATGTTTTATCTCAGAAATAGTTCCTAGGTGCTGCTCTAAAAAGTTCAGCAAAAGAACCTTATTTTTAGAGGCTTTCTTAACATCTCTTGCCTCCAGTTTTTCTCATGGGTCTCTAAATATAAAAAAAAGAATGAGTCAACTTTTATTGAGAGCTTACAACATGCCAAATCCTGGGTTAAGTGTCTTATGCAAATTGTCATTTAATTGGTACAGTTTTATATGGCAGGTACTATTTTAAGTGTCCCCATTTTTTACACAAGCAGACTGAGGCCTGGAGAAGAATAATGTGTCTAAAGTCACAGAGGCGGAGCCCAGTTCTGAGCCCAGTTTTGCAGGTCACTAAAAGTAGTGCTTGACAGTCACTCTGCTGCACTTACTGCTGATAAGCAGGCCAACAGGTGTCTCAATAAACATCTTGCCACCATGGATAAAAACCTGTTTACACAACTGCTTTAAGCTATATGCTTCCTTTTACATAACTCTCGCATAAATCTATAAACTATCAACATGTAAGCCCAAATGAGTAAGTTTTATGGCCTTAAATGTCACTGTTTAGAGTCTTCTAAAGCTTGTTTTTATCATTGGTCTCTCTTGTTTATTAATTCAGCAATGAATGTGTACTTTCTATTACATGCAAGGCACTATTCTATAGACTATGTTACAAAAGATGATCAAGGATTGTAAAAGTACTGCTTACACTGAAGTTAAAATTTAAGTTAAATGTAAATAACCCCCACTTAAATGTTACAATAAATGTCAATTTCAGATTAAAATTTCACCTGCCTAAAAACTGTTCTGTCCAATATTTGTCTCTTGCTTTTTTTCATTCCATCCAAAATTAAAATGTTATTTAAAAAAAGCTCAGAAGGCAACAAGAGTGTAACTCTCAGCAGCACTTCAGGAACGAACAAAAAAGAGTTTTCAACATGGGAAGGTTTGGGATGGGTTTATTTAAGGGCAATTCTCTCACAGAGGTCCATGCTAAAAATGGAGGTCAAGATCAGAGGCTCCAAGGATGAAATTGTGAAAGCTGTTTATGAACCGGTACTGGTCCCTGTGGGGAGCTGGGTGTCCCTGGGAGGGTGGCACTGTGCTTGCACTGCAGATCCCAATCTGTGGGAAGGGCCTGTCTACCACCCCCACCCGGTTTTAAGGCATCCTTGTCCACTGGCTCCTGGAATGCCTCCTGTCCAACCGCCGCCAGGTCTGCATTTGCTCCTTTGATCACAAGGCATGGCAGGCGCTGAAAAAAAATCGCCTTATTGCACATACGGCGTTTGCTCCTTTTTCTGTATTTTTTTCACTCCCTGAAGGTTTGTTGGGAAAAAAAAAATCAAACAATGCAGATTTGTATAAAAATAAAAACAGAAGTCCCCTTTCCTCTCATCTTTTTTTAATAGTCAAGATAGAGCAATCTCTTCGGGTCCCATCCCACTGTGGGAGCTTTTCTGTCCTCTTAATAAATCCTCTTAATAAATAGTGAAGATAAAAACTATTAAAAAGCTTGGTATGTATGCACTGAGACTTTTCCTTTGCATATTCAATAATTCATATACACACCAATTTACATATATATATGTATATACTTTCTGTCCAAAATTGGCATATTTTACTGTTATAGGACTTGACTCTCAACTTTCTCTGTCTCTCTCTTTTTTTTTTCAAAGTAGCATTTATTAAGAAGACAGAAAAGCTCCCACCGTGGGAGGGGACCTGAAAGAGGTTGCCCCCCACCATTTTTTTGAGCTGGAGACTCTGTCACCCAGACTGGAGTATAGTGACATGCTCACGACCACCCCACCATCGACCTGCTGGGCTCAGGCAATTCTTCCACCTCAGCCTTCCAAGTAACTGGAACTACCGGCGTGCGCTACTACACTACCACACCCGGCTAATTTTTGATTTATTGTAGAGACGAGGTCTCCCCAAGTTGCCAGGGCTGGTCTTGAACTCATGGGCTCACAGAGAATCCTCTCGCCTCAACCTCCCAAAGTGCCGAGATTATAGGCTGAGCCACCGAGCCTGGCCTTTTTTTTTTTTGAGTCAGTCTTACTTTGTTGCCCAGACTGGAATGTAGTGGCACAGTCATGGCTCACTGCAGCCTCCATGTCCTGGCCTCAGGTGATCCTTTCACATCAGCCTCCCAAGAAGCGGGACTATAGGAACGCACCCCCATGCCTGGCTAATTTTTTTATTTTTTTGTGGAGATGGACTCTCGGTATATTGTCCGGGCAAATCTCAAACTCGTGGGCTCAAGCAATCTTCCTGTCTTAGCCTCCCTTAGTGCTGTGATTACAGGCATGAGCCACCGCTTCCAGCCTCTCTTTTAAATTCACTACATATTGTGAAGATCTCTCAGTGACTGTTAGAAGCTCATTCTTTCTAGCGCTTCCATAGTATTGCATTCTGTAGCTGTTCCGTTTCCCAACCAGTTCTCTATTTTTATACTCTTGGGTTATTTCCAGTAGTTTTGCTATAACCAACAACGTGGCAGTGAATATCCTCGAACACTTCCCCTGTTCATCTACTGGAATGATGTCTGAATGATAACACCCTTTTCCACCAGAAGTTTGGAAATCTCTTTTTGGTTTTTTGCCTTGCATAGTTGAGAGAAGTACTCTGACCAAACCATCGGCCACAATCGGAACCTTCTCCACTCGAGTTAGCATGCACTGCCGCGTTCAGAGTCGCAAAACAAATTTGGTGTTACTTATTTGGATATCTACGTTTAAATATGTGCTCATCTCTGATGCCCCTCTGTGCACACTGCCAGTGAAGCCACATTAACATTTGTTAGCGATTCATTCCTGCCTCCCCTGCTTTGCCAAATGCCTAACGAAGATGATGAGTTTTGCCTAACGAAGATGATGAGGACCTGAGGTTTGCAGGCTCAGAGGAGCGAACAGTCTCCAAGACAAATGAAGCTTCAAATGAGACACTTGCCCTGCTGACCCCGGGCACGGAACCCTAGAAACCATCAGCAGGAGGGCCCAGGTAGCTGAGACTGCGGAGAATGAGGAGCAAAAGGGGAGTCCTTCACAACATTCAAATCCTTAGCCCAAAAAACTTGGTGGACGGACGTGTAGGCAGGTTGAAAGAACTTCATTCCTTTGGTTGTATATTTAAATTCTGGGCCGGGTGTGGTGGCTCATGCCTGTAATCCTAGCACTTTGGGAGGCTGAGGCAGGAGGATGGCTTGAGCCCAGGTGTTGAAGACCAGCCTGGGCAACATAGCAAGACCTTGGTCTCTACCAAAAAAAAAAAAAAAAAATCAAAAAAATTAACCGGGTGTGGTGGTAGCTGTAGTCCCAGCTACTTAGAAAGCTGAGGCGGAAGGACTACCCGAGCCCATGATGGCACCACTGCACTCCAGCCTGTGAAACAGAGTGAGACTCTGACTCTAAAATTAAAACAAAACAAAAAAACCTCGAAACTCTCCCAAAATATTACCAATTACCAATCAGTATTTTCTCTGCAAAATAATCCAAACAATTTTCTGCATTAGTAAATGTAATAAAAAAATAATAATTTTAGGGAAAAACTGCTCATTTCACACATTTATTAAACTTTGAATTCCAACTGTTGCCCAAAAGCAAAGGCACGATGTCTTTGGTGATATTGTGAAACTGGCGATTTCAAAGTCAGTTTAATGAAACTGTTAATTTCACCCATCTGGCTTAGCATATGCATTTTTTTCCAGTCGATCTGTAACTAAAAACATGCCTTGTTTATGGAGATTAATGGTTTAATGGAGAAACAAACAAATAAAATAGGAGAAGAAGCCGTCTTCTCATTTTCTTGAAGCACCAAAAGCTAGGGAAAAGTGTCACGGCCACCATTAACTAACCCTTACATTTTTCCAAGTAGCATAGCACTGTTTATTTTTCTTTTTTGTCTCTTTTACAAAAATACCATAAGGTCGCCATTTGCGTGCTCATCATTAGATGAGCTAAAATGCAGCAGGGCGTGGTGACTCAAGCCTGTAATCCCGGCACTTCGCAAAGAAGAGGTGAGAGGATTGCCTGAGCCCACGGGTTCGAGACCAGCCAGGGCAACTTGGCGAGACCTCATCTCTACAATAAATCAAAAAATTAGTTGGGGGTATAAAATGAGCATGCGCCTGTAGTTCCGGTTACTTGGAAGGCTGAGGCGGAAGGATCACCTGAGCCCAGCAGGCCAACACTGGGGTGGCCATGAGCATGCCACTACACTCCAGACTGGGTGACAGAATGAGACTCTAACGCAAAAAAAAAAAAAGGAGCTAAAACACAGAGTAAGAGAAGGAGGCCCCTTGCCAAAGGCCCCGGAGCCAGGACCAGCATCTGTTGGAGAATTTAAAAGGAAAAAGGCACTCCTCCTTCCCTGCAGAAGGACAGGAGACCTGGGGAAGAAAGTCATGCTTAGTGTCAAGTTTCTGAAAGGTGTGATGTGTTCAAAGCAGAAAGTTTTAAAGGGGAAAAAAGTAAAGGAGAAAACATCATTTAATCATTAAAAGGAACACTCTTCACCAAGTTTACTGTGCAACAAACACAGTGCGCTCTATATTTGCATTCTGAGCCAGTAAGTCTGGTGTGGTTGAAGAAGCTGGTTGACTCTCAAAAGTAAACTGTATCTTTCTGTGCTGGATACATTTTT